CTGCAACTTCCCCATTTTTGTCATATTCAACACTTACTGATACAGAACCATTAAAATACTAACAATTTGATATATCAAATATCAAAACATATAGCAAAAAGTGCTCCAAATCAGTAGACATAATTAATAATGTAATTTATGGGGAAATAAATATGTACATATCGACATTCACAACTTAAAACTACTTATATGAAATGTCTAGAATAATATTTCAAGCATTTTTTATTCTAAAACAAAATTGACCAGATTTAATATGCGTGCCAAAATATACAAAATATTGTACAACAAAATGCGCTGCAAAAAATAAATATTTTCATGACTATTTATTCTACACAGTTTAATCTACAATATCGAAAACGCTACACGGTAAAAAGTTTGTAAATCTCCGTTAATCTGAGTTTGTATGAAATTTTAATAAATAAATATCAAAACTTTTCCAAAAAATAACGAAATTGAAATTTGAAGTAGGTTAACAGCAGTCTACCTATAGCTGATCAATTTTTTCAACTGGCCCAATAGATTTAATAGGCTCAAGGCGCCCAAAACCAACTCCCTCTAAAAGCTCACTTTTCCCTCGCCTTCTCTCTCTACACGTTTCTCTAGGTGAAAAAGATATAAAAGCAATGAATGATATGAGTGGATTATGATGTTTTAAAAACATATTTTTTTTAATATTTTAATAAAAAGGTATAAGTGTAATTAATTGAATTGTTATATATATTAAATATATATTTTATAGAAACTTTTTTTATCTTGAAATATATGACACCAAAAATTATGAAAAATAGTTGATAAATATAAAAATTTGCCTAGAATAAACGGATGAAAACGGTTTGCAAAACGGACACCAGATGTTTCTAGAAAGCTCACTTGTATAAAAATATACTAAATTCTTAAGGAAGACAAATTTAGCAAGAAATCTTTTATCTTTTTAGTTATGAAACTCATAAAGATAGATAAAATATGCTCAAAATATATTCAAGTGTGCTCTACAATTTGATTTTGATATTTTATAAATCAGGCATGAAACAAAAGAATATCAATTACCTAAATATAATAAAGTCAATTTTCGTAAGCTAAATTATATTCAAATCAAAACCGCTAAAAATTAACAAATAAATTCAGTATAAAATTAACTTCAAAAACTTCAAGAAAATTAACAAACATAAAATAAATATACAAGACTTAATAGATTCCAAAATGAGGTTTCATCATGTGCACTGTATAGTACATCAATAGTCGTTACATTCTCCGCTTCTCAGAAAGATATCATTTTCGACATTCAAAAGATCTAATTATCAAACAAATCTGGATAGAACTACCTCATATCAACCTCTTTTCCCATGTGGTTTTACTTTCTGGTATGTGCTTCCACAAAACTTTAACCATAGGGATCTGCTTCCTCAAAAGAGAATGATACAATACTTTTTAGGATAGAAATTAGAGATATAATCTCCAAATCACAAACAAAGCAAAAGTCTGTTAAACCAGAAAATAACACATAAATAATTCCCTTATAGAAAATAGTCTAATTAAAAATAGAGAAATAGGAAAAGGGAAAAAATATGTTAAAAATTGTAGTTGGCCTCGTGATTACGGGACTGGTCGTCATCCCACGAATATGCGGGATTCCGCAATTCTGCGGACACGTAGAATTTATGCCCGCATCAACTATATATATATTTTTTACTATATATATAGAGGGAGAGAGAGAGAGAGAGCGAGAAAGAGTACAGAGCTTTCAAGTCTTGTGGAGGTTGAGGGAATGTGGCCATCCTCTCCTAAATCCATCTCTGCTTATTGCCTTAAGCACGAGTAAATTTGCATTTTACACATAATGAGTGATTTTGATATTTATGATATGCTTTGAGTTGAACTCGTGCGGTAACATGTTTTTCATTCATCGCCATGACTGCATTCAATTGAATTAGAGGTGGAGTCTATAATAACATCAACCATTTTGTCTTGTATATAGTCTATCCCGAGCTCAAATAGTTACAATGTGGCTGATGGTGATGGTTGTGGGCACTCTTATTGCTAGGCGTATAGGATCCATGCTACATACGATAATTATGTCATGTTAGTATTTGGATAAGTTGGTATTAATTAGTGACGCGAGGGACCAATCACCTGATTTGAATTGTGGAAAATTAATGATAATAAAAAAAAACTTAGAAATATACCCAGCTGTAAATTTTATCGGTAAATTTATATCAAATAACTAGTAGAAATCAAAATAAAATTTAAAATTATACCTTGAGATATGAATGTAGAATATAGCTTTTTTATTTTTATGTTGAGCAAATTCATACTGATCTGATCTGTGCATGATAAATTCAAGAAATAAAATTTAAAACTTTTAATTTTGAAGAATAATCCTTATTCACCTACCCCAATAAGTTGAACTGTCTTAATCTTCGGTTCTACAAAGGATTCATTTTATGTTTTTTTTTTCTTTTTTTTTCATGTGGCTTTTATCTAACTATTTTTCAAAAATAGGTCCATTGTGGCTTGAGGGGTAACCTTGGTCCTCCATGCAATGCTGTTGGCTTCATAGATAGGCTATTTCTTGGCAAAAAACACTTGTATCAGAATCCTGTCTATAAAAGGACAAAGGTTTTTATTTATTTTTGCTTAAAATTTTATTAACCTTTTCTAGCAGCTTTAGTTTTGCTTTCTACAGGAATGCAGTATCAACTCCCCCGATTATGGTCCTCTTCCACCAAATTCACCCCAATGGTGCCTTGCCCCATTCGACCCTGAGGGCATTTTAAGGTCAGTTGGCTAAAACATGTTTAAAATTTATATATCTTATATACTTGGAAGATTTACATGCATACCACTTAATTCCTATGAATTTACACACCTAACACCTAAATTTCAATTTTTACGTTCTTACCACCTTACCTAGAAAAGATGAATTTCACCTTTTAAAAGTTAAAATGGTTGTATTTTTTATGTGATATGAAAATTTTGGGTGGTATAAATGTAAAAAGCAAAGTTTAGGTGTTAGATATATAAATACATAGGAAATATGTAGTATGTTTGTAAATGCCCCATATATCTTATATCCAGACTTCTTTCCTTGAAACTTCTAGCTACAGGACTTGTTGGTGCATGGAACCAATCTAGAGTTCTGGATATTTACTACAATAATCCGCTAAACCGTTCTTTCTTGTTTCTTTTCCTTTGTACGTAATGCTCCTCCCTTGATTAAATTGTATTGAACACTATCAGTTCAGTAATGGCTGCTGTGACATGCTTTGTTGGATTACAGTTCGGGCATGTGATAATACATTTTAAGGTAAAGCCACCTTTAAGGAATTCATGTTATGTATATTTTTTAGGGACATTTACATAAATAGCACACATATCTTATGCATTTACATTTCTCACACCTTAACTTTCATATTTACATAAATAGCACTCAAATTTTTAGTATCACATCAAAAATAGCACTATTATCACTTTTTAAAAGTGAAATGCATTTTTCCATGCTTAGGTTTAAACCACCGAAGTGCTATTTATGTAAATATAGAAGTTTAGGTGTGAGATATAAATTCGTTAGAATTGTGTGCTACGCATGTAAATTTTCCTATTTCTTATTCAATTTTAATTATTATTTTGGTAGTGTGCTCCATAAACCTTTGATTTAATACTCTTTTAATCCAAGTACCTATACTTATTCATTTGAATTTTATTTAGAGCCACATGAAGAGGATCGTTATGTGGTCAATGAGTTCTTTGGTACTTCTCGTTTTCGCTTGTGTGGTGGCTATATTAGGTATAATCAACCACAATAACATACTTTAATCATGTCTGCAGCATTGTACTTTATTTTTTATATTAATTTCGCTATTTTGTTCCATGTCTTTCAGGTATGCCTCTTAGTAAGCCCTTGTACACCTTGAGTTACACGTTTCTTACAGGAGGAGCCTCAGGCATTGCCCTATCTTTTATATATTTTCTGGTGAGATTGTGTTATTAGATCTACCTTTTGGTAGCATTACTTGCTAATTTTCAGTAATATCACTTTCTTGAGCAAGTGTGTTTGATATACTAGCGTTTTTTTGGGGCATTTACATACATATATTTCCAATATATTTACATATCTAGCACCTAAACTTTACTTTTTTGCATTTATACCACCAGAATCTCTTATATCACATCCAAAATACACCATTTTAAAAGTGAAGTATACCTTTTCATGCATATGTAATATGTAAAAATATAAATTTTGGTGTTAGATATGTAAATACATAGGAATTGAGTGGTATGCATGTAAATCTTCCCCTTGTTTGTTTTATGGTGGATGTGCGGTAGTAGTTGTAAGATAGTCATCGTCGTCGCCTTCATCATAATCATCATCTTCATCATCAGTCTTCTTAATTTGCCTGAGTCATTTCTTTTCATGATTGCTGTTAAGCTTTACCAGAGATTTGAAAACTTTATTTGCAAATAATTCTACAACTTCTATCCATGTTACATTAAGGCTACATTTTTTCTTCTTAATCCTGCAATACTAATTTTATATGCTCGTCAAATAGATGCATTCTCAACTCTTTGTTGTGCATGTTCAAACCTTCTAAATCTATTTTCAATTATCCTATATTCAGTAAATATTATTCCAACAGTTCCTTTAGTCTAATTTCTTAAATTGTCCTACCTATTTATTCCACACATCCATTTTATTATTCTTTTTTTTTAACGGTCAGCTTAGCAATCGAAGATTTTTTTATCGCCCGATCATAATTTTCATACAATGCAAGAAATTTTCTCATTTATCACAATTGGCTACATTTTTTGTTGTAATTCAAATGGTGATTGCATAATCTGTCTTAAAATGACTGTGTTGATTAATTAGTAAAAAATATTTGAATATTCATGATTAGTTTAAAATTATAATACTTGTATATTAATAAACAAAACTATAATATTTAAAATTAATTTTTAAATTAGATTAGATATTTTATACTAGTTAGCTGCATTATATGACTTAGTTTTTTTCATAATTTCGATCCTCGTATATTAATAAACAAAACTATAATATTTAAAATTAATTAAATTAGATTAGATATTTTATACTAGTTAACTGCATTATATGACTTAGTTTTTTTCATAATTTTGATCCTTGGATAAAAAATTACCTTTTTGATTCAGAATTATTTCCTTAATAAAAAATTATGCCTTGAAGTGAGCTCTCTCACTAAGAAATGATAGTCATTCTCTTTCTCTGTCCATTAAACATTTAGAATTAAAATTAGAAGTGGATTAAACCTTTTACTAAATTTTATATTAATTAATAAGAGAATACAATAACTAAAAGAGTCGATGATATGTGGGTTGTATTAGTTTAGATTTTGAAATATGTAATTTGCCCTTTTTTGTGTAAACTCTTAGATAGAAAATATCTTTTCTATCACTAAATGAATTAAAAAAATAAAAATAAAGTAAGAGAGATACCTAAATTTGAAATGGTTTCTATTTATTATGCCGATTACAAAACCGGTCTAGGCCAACTGGTCGAGAATCGGCCAACCGGCTGAGAATCAGCTGACCGGCTTATCCCAACAATTTATGAGCCAAACGACTTAGCAGGAAGGGGAGGCATGGCGGGGAGCAGCGATAGAGGAATCCAGCAAAGAGAAGGGGCCCACGAAAGCCTTAATCACATATGTAAGGAGGAGAAAGTAAAGGATTTTTAGGGGCAAAGTTTGAAGGCGTTTTGGGAGGGTTATAGTAGGGCCAATAACCTAGGTTTGTTCCTTAATCACATATGTAAGGAGGAGAAAGTAAAGGAGTTTTAGGGGCAAAGTTTGAAGGCATTTTGGGAGGGTTATAGTAGGGCTAATAACCTAGGTTTGTTTTATGTTTTGTTTTCGCTGTAGTTTTCCTTCTCTTCTTGTGGTGTTTCTGCCGTCAAGGGTTTGTGGAGAGACGATCTAACTCTCGAACAGTAGATCATCGTTGTATCTTGTTTGTTTCATTTGTTTTTTGTAAGAGCAGCCTTCGTTTGAGTTTTTTCAGCTATATATTGCAATTTCATCGTTGTTTGTTCGCTATTTCTGGATCGTTTCAAGTTGATATCAGAGTGCCCCGACAACCATGACATTGAGGACCCAGGCGGTGTCATTTCAGGAAAAGGTGCCAATGGAGAAGAATACGAGAACCCGTTCCCAGGGGAATTTCAAGCCCCTCACCGATGCAGAAGTGCAAGATAAAAGAGAAGGATTATGTTATCGATGTGACGAGAAGTATTCCATAGATCGTTATTGCAAGGAGCACGCCCTTCAAATTCTTTTAGTCCAGAAGGAGGACACATAGGTGGAGGAATAAGAGGAAGACGCAGTGGAGGAGGAGCATCTACACTTGAATGTAGCAGAGGTATCCCTCAATTCAGTGGTGGGATTTATTCTGAATCACACTATGAAAGTGAGGGAGTGAATCGGGGAACAACTGATCATAGTGTTGGTGGATAGTGGGGCCATACATAACTTTATCTCAAATCAGGTCGTGGATTAATTAGGGTTGGAACTGGTAGCCACAAGAAATTTTGTTGTCATGATGGAGACAAGGAAGGTGGAGAAAAGTCGGGGAATTTGGAAGGGATTGGTTCTGACAGTACATGACCTATAGATGGTGGATTTCTTTCCCTAGGATTTGACAGCATAGATGTGATTTTGAGGATGAAGTGGGTGTAGACGCTTCAGGAGATGAAGGTGGACCTAGGATTTGGGCAGCATAGATGTGATTTTGAGCATGAAGTGGGTGCAAACGCTTCAGGAGATGAAGGTGGACCAGTAGGATTTGACAGCATAGATGTGATTTTGAGGATGAAGTGGGTGTAGACGCTTCAGGAGATGAAGGTGGACCAAAATTCACTGGTGATGGAGTTCCTGGTGGAGGGTAGGAAGTAGAGAAGATGCTAGCTCATGAAAAATCATGGTTTCCCTTAAAGCCATGGTGAAGTCAATACGGGGAGCAGGGATAGGCTCGTTGGTAGAGATGTAGAGCGTTCAGGAGATCTGAAATCTGAAATTGACTGAGGGTCTCGGGGAGGTCCAGCAGCTCCTACAGTAGTTTATTGACATCTTTCACCAGTCGAACGAGTTACCACCTCTGAGGGAGCACGAGCATGCCATTATATTAAAGGAGGGTGTCTCCTCTATTAGTGTCGGACTATATCAGTATTCTCAGATTCAGAAGGATGAAATAGAGAAGTTGATCCGAGAGATGCTCGAGGCTGGGATTATCAGACTCGGTGTGAGCCTCTTCTCCAGCTCAATTTTGTTGGTTAAGAAAAAAGATGATAGTCGAAGGTTTTGCATGAACTACCGAGCTTTGAATAATGAGACAGTGTTGGATAAGTTTCATAACATTGTGATTGATGAGTTGCTAGCTGAATTTTATGAGGCAGTCATTTTCTCAAAAATCGAACTTAAGTCGGCATACCACTAGATCAGGATGAACCCAGTGGATGTGCACAAGACAGCGTTCAAGACACATAAAGGAGATTATGAGTTCTTGGTGATTTTGCTTGGCCTCACCAATGCCACAACTATATTTTTAGTCCCTCATGAATAGGGCTTTTCAACCTTTTCCTCAGGAAATTCGTCCTTTTCTTCTTCAATGATATTCTAATCTACAATCTTATAGAGGCAGAACATGTGGAGCACCTGAGGACGGTGCTGGAGAAGTTGAGAGAGCACCACTTGTATGCCAACTTGAAAAAATGTTCATTTGCATAGCTGCAAGTGGAGTGCCTAGGGCACGTGGTGATCAAGGTAAGAGTCGAGGCTGTGATGGACTGTCCACTTGCCAGGAGCTTGAAGGAGTTAAGGGGTTTCCTAGGTCTCACCAGATATTATAAAAAATTTGTGAAGGGGTATGACACGATAGCATAACCACTGACGGAGCAACTGAAGAAAGACAATTTCAAGTGAGGGGAACCGCAACACAGGCTTTCAAACATTTGAAGAAACCCATGACTAGTGTAACAATATTAGCACTTTCAGATTTCAGTAGACTATTTCTAGTAGAGACAGATGTGTTAGAGTATGGATTGGGAGCAGTACTCATGCAGGATCAGTGGTCGATTGCTCACTGCAGCCAGGTGCTCACCGCTAGGATGAGGCTCAAGTCAACGTATGAGCGGGAGTTGATGGATTTTTTCTTGTCCATTCAGAAGTGGCGGCCCTACTTTTTGGGATGACACTTTCTTGTCAGGACAAATCAGAAGAGCTTGAAGTACCAGTTGGAGCAGAGGATGGTGACTGAGGAGCATCGGAGGTGGCTATCCATGTTGTTGGGATATGATTTTGAGATTCGAGACCATCCAGGATTGATGAATAAAGCCACAGATGCCCTGTAGAGGAAGTTGGAGGAGCCCCAACTGTCAGTCTTATCGGTATCCTTGGTCCTAGATTGGAAATCTCTGTGGTGGGAGAGAGCGAGTTGAAGGGCTAAGGAAGATACGGGTAGAGTTGCTACAGGATCCAAATAATCATTTGGAATATCCATTGAGGGGACAACTACTCTACTAGGGTCGGTTCGTGTTAGCAAGGGCATATGAGTACATCACTAGACTATTGTAGGAGTTTCACGGCAGTACAATCGGGAGGCATTCCGGAGTGTAAAAGAAATACAACCCTCTATCGACAGAGCTTTACTGGGTGGGGATACACAGAGATATAGAAGACATGGTGGCGCGATGTGATGTGTGCAAGCGACACAAATACTTGACCATGGCGCTAGGCAGGTTGTTGCATCCCTTAGCATTACCTGAGAAGATTTGTGAAGAAGTGACAGTGGATTTTATAAAAGGGTTGCCACGATCAAGAGTTTATGGTGATATTGGTGGTATTGAATTGCCTGAGCAAATATGCACATTTCATTCCATTACGATACCCCTACACTGTGGTCTCAGTCGCTATGGTGTTCACACGAGAAGTGGTCCATTTGCACAGAGTGCTAGAATCGATTATATCAGATAGGGACAAGGTGCTCTTCTGTTAGTTCTGGAAAGAGTTGTTATGGTTACAAGGAACCGCCCTAATGAGAAGTATAACACATCATCTTTGGACCGATGGCCAGACGGAGGTAGTCAACTGGTGTGTGGAGATATATCTGGATAGGCCGAAGCTTTGGGCCAAGTGGATTGCGTGGGCCTAATGTTAGTTTAATATTTTGTACCATACTGTAGCACAAAATACTTCCTTTCAAAGATTTTGTATGGGTGGGATCCACCCCACCTGATACACTATGTGCATAGTACTACACTGGTGTTCAGTGTCGACCATTATTTGGAGGAGAGGGACAGAATATTGAGAGAGCTCAAGGGACATCTACTAAGAGCTCAACAGATCATGAAGAAGAACGTAGATGAACATAGGAAAGAGGTGCAGTTCGAACCAGGGGACATGGTTTAGTTGAAACTGAGAAGCTACAAGCAGAAGATATTGGCCAGGTAATGGAGCTAGGAACTTTCAATATTTTGGACCCTGCGAGGTGACGGTACACATCAGAACAGTGGCCTACCATTTGAGGTTACCACAATCATCAACATTGCATCCAGTCTTTGATGTTTTACAGCTGAGACGTGCGATCAAAGAACATAGACCCTCGTCGTCACTGACCCCGATGATGACAGAGGACCTAGAGGTGATGCTAGTACCTTTAGAGGTCAAAGGAGTGTGTCGAGGAGGGGCCGGAGCAAAGGAGGTATTTATTAAGTGGAAGGGTCTGCCAGAGAATGAAGCAACATGGGAATTTTTATGAGGTGATCAAATGACAGTTTCCATCATCTCACCTTGAGGACAAGGGGCTTCTTTGGAAGGGGAGTATTGTTATGCTGGTTACTAAACCGAGCAAGACGGGATTGGTCGAGAATCAACCGACCGGCCTGCCCCAGCTGTCTAAGAGCCGAAAGGCTCAACAGGAAGGCGAGGCGTGGCGGGGAGCAGCGACAGAGGAATCCAGCAAACAGGTGGGGCCCACGATGGTTGTAATCATGTATGCAAGAATGAGAAATTAAAGGAGATTTGGGGGAAAATTTTGAACGGTTTTGGTAGGGTTATATTAAAGCTAATATCCTAGGGTTTGCTTTATGTTTTGTTTTGGCTGCAGCCTTCCTTCTCTTCTTGTGGTGTTTCTAGCGACTTCTAGGGTTTGTGAAGAGGCAATCTACCTCTCGAACAACAGATCATCATTCTATTTTGCTTGTTTTCTTTGGTTTTCGTAAGAGCAGCCCTCGTTTTGATTTTTCTCTTATTTGTTGTCATTTGGTGCTATTTGTTCGTTGTTTTTGGTTCCGGATAGTATCACTATCCTTATAATTTTGAAAATTTTCATATAGAAATTTTCTCATTATGGCTTATTATTTTGTATATAAATAGTAAGATTAACTATAGTTTCATTAAATTTATCTTAAAAGGGCCATGGTATTTTTTTAAGACATACAGTTCTATGATACTTCTTCATTTTAATATTCAACCTCTGCTTTAGAAGTTACGTCCTTAAATATACAATTATTCTTTTGAATATTAAACTCATGATGCTCAAAACTATCACATTTTTGTGTCACTTTATTTTTTTAATAATGTTGATGAATAATATTAATGATTAATCTCTCTATTATTATTTTTTAATACCCATATCTAGTAAAGCTTAGAAAAATATAGTAAGTAAATGATTGCAGTGGAGAGATTATGAGGTCTAATTTATTGAGGACAAAGTTTTAGAAATTAGACTTATGGTTATCCATAGGAGCATTAGCGAATTTATTTCACATAAAGCGATATAGGACAAAAAAATGATACAATGTTAGGAATAAATGCAATGTGTGATTTAATGAGTATTAGATAATTAAACCTATTAGATTTTTATTATTTGTCTTAAAGGGTCATATGAGTCCTTAAGAGTCGATATATATTCCTTATGCGTAGTATTGGGGAAACTACAATGTAGAAGTAAACTGTGCTTTGGCTTATTCACTCTCCCCACAAAACTTCCTGCAGTTGCGGGTATTCTATAGGAACTCCAAAAGCAACTTTGACATGAAGTTATAATGAAATACGTGCTGTAAAGGTAGCACAGATTATGATTCTAACATACAAAAAAAAAAAAAAAGAATTACATATCTAACACCCAAACTATCATTTTTTACGTATATACCACCTTACCTAAGCATGTATATTTTTCACTTTCTAAAAGTTTAATAGAGGTATTTTTGATGCCATAAGAAAAGTTTGGGTGATATAAATGTAAAAAACAAAGTTTAGGTGTTTAGATATGTAAATACATAGGAATTGTGTGGCGTGAATGTAAATGTCCCTAAAAGTTAACACAATGCAGTACTCAATATGTATGACTAGAAAATAATTATTAATAAATCGAACATGAAATTGGACATTCTATAGTTTTCTTTGTTGCCTCCAATCAGCATCATTTGCACATTAGAATCTACGAGACCACCTCTAGAAAGCCATCTATAACACTTGATTTGGTACTTCATGTCATGAATTGGCCCGGGATTTTGGAATTGCCAAGGTAGGAATGGAATTGAATTAATTCTTTTTGTTAGTGACTTCTTCAATTATTATTTTGGATGATTAATTGTTCGTGATAAAAATTGAAACTAAAATTGATTTTCACTGTCCGAACGTCTTTTCCCATCATAAAAATTCCTCAAAAATTTAAATGTCAATAGAAAACTTCATCTCTCCCTCTAGTTTGTACTATATTTTGATTGATGGTGGTTAAACAGGTCTATTGAGACAAGTTGGGCAATCTGCTGAAAATGGCATGGAGTTCACTATGAAAAAATGATAATACTGTCTTTTTTTATGTAAATTTAAAGATTTAAGGGCTATTTGTGTAAATTTGAAGGTTTAGATGTGAGATATGTAAATACATAAGAATTGTGTGCTATGTATGCAAAGGCCTCTAAGAATTATTAATAAAATTTATTATAAGTTTGCTAATTGTTTATCAACGTAATCTCAATCCTCAATCTTCCTTATATAGTACCGAATTTAAAATGACAGCTAACTCTCTTTTCATGCAGGTTGATGTTAAAAATATTAGGAAGCCATCTCTTTTACTTCAGTGGATGGGCATGAACGCGCTTTTTGTGTATGTATTGGCAGCAGGAGAACTCTTTCCGGCTGCTCTACAAGGATTTTATTGGAGAACACCATCAAATAACTTGGTAGTAATCATCATCTTATATTTTGTAGGAAGATTTACATACATATGCATTTACATATCTAACTCCTAAACTTCAATTTCTATGTACATGCCGCCTTACCCATGCATTAAAGGTGTATTTCAGTTTTTAAAAGTTAAAATTTCGGTATTTTTAATGTGATATGAAACATTTATAAATGTAAAAGATAAAGTTTAGATATGTAAATGTATGGGAATTGGGTGGCATGTATCTAAATGCCCCTATTTTGTATGCATTCTTGTTGAGATTTGTATCTAATGTGGGGTTCTATTTGTAAATAGAATAAGGCTCTATATAAGGTGATGTGGTAATGAAATGAGTAAGGTTTTTCACAAAATAATTCAATTTGTTATGAGTGCTAAAAACCTAGCCAGGATTTGCGTACGCATGCAGAGACGTGAAGCTACCTGGGGCGGCGACAACCGCATGGAAAAATTGCATGGAAGTACAGTTGTGATCGAAGCTGAGCTGGGAGGACGCGGCAGGATCGTTGTGCTACAGTCGCCTAACTGTGAAGACACTAAGGAGATCTTCTTGCGAGGAATAGAAGACAAAGACGCGGGCGCTATTGGAGTTTTTTTTGGCTGCTAAACTATAGAAGCGGACCCTTGGAGTTCTCTGCTGCAAAACCAGACAAGCAAGCATTGGTTTCGTAGTGTTTTGCGGTTGGTTTGCGCTCTAGGCAGGAAGTAACAGGCGAGACATGAAATTATATTAAAAAGGGTGAAAATATATGTATGAACTAGCCAAATAAAGAGAAATGAAAACTAAAGATTTAATTCAAGTAAAGTGTATTAAAGATGAAAATTTAAAAGTGTTTTTCATAGAAAAAGATATTCAACATAGGCGGGTGAGTTATTTTGATAAACTTTTTAGTGAAGTTTCTGAAAGTACGATCGAACTTAGTGATCTTAATATCGTTAATAATAATAAAAAGTTTTATTTTTACCGTCACATTAGTAAAAAAGAAGTTGATGAGGCTTTAAAGAGAACCAATAGTGGAAAGTCTGTAGAACCTGATGATATCCCAAT